GCTTAAACTATTAAACCTGACCAACCGTGACTAGCAAGCCTAACGTATTTAAAAGACAAGTGAACTCAATATTATTATTATTACAAAATATATATATTTATCTTTTAATTTTATTGTATAAATACCTTTTTTGTTCACGGAATTGAATCTTTGATCATTTTAATATGAGACCACTAAACTAAAATATCTCATATATAGTTGGGAAAGTATAATTCTCAAATATTATATTAAGTCAATCAGCCGATTTTATTATAGAAAACCAAGTGACAATACAATTATACTTATTTATTATTTATTTATTTTAATTCGGTCCATGGACTTCTCCACGCGTGCACTTTTCTTTTATTCGGCGCATCTTTATTTTTTTAATTTTTACGTCCAAAGTGTTTCGAAATAAATCATTATCATATGTTTTTTTCTGTAATTTGAGGAATGTACGTACAAGTTGGCAAAATTGTTCCCCTAGCAGGCACTTAGCACTTAAATTTGATGTTTTAGTGAAAAAATAAAAGGAAACATACTAAATACAGTGTTCTCTTTCAGTTTTTACTATATATATATACGTTGCTACTATATATATAATTCTTAACTATGACGTAACACAGTTTGCTGTATATATATTGCTTTGTACAATATCCATGCGCAACTGATTAATAATTGTTTCAATTGGTTTTATAGTAATCAGCAGCGTCTGAAAAATGAACTTAACGACTTTCTCCCAAGTTAGTGAGATCATCTAAACTGAATGTACATAATTTGTATTGGTTCTTTATTCCTTACTGGTGGAGTAGTTGAAAATAGTCGATAAACATCATTATCCAAAAAGCTAGCAGGATAATTATTAGAATTTTAGATCCACTTAGAGCACGTTTGTTTGGAATGACAAGACAGGATTTAGGTGCTAATCTGGCCAATTTCGCGCGTTTGTTTACCATGATCAGGGCCCGTCAGATTAGATGAGGCCCGCGATGTACAGTGAAGAAATCTCACATTCCGCCGATTAATTGATCTGCTCGAGGGGGGTATGATTGGGACCTGTCCGAATAGTAGCATGAATGACAATGTCTTCTTTGGCCTTGAAAGTATTTTTTTCGGACAAAATTGCCCTCATTGCAGAGGTAAAATGCACGATGCCACTACCTTTTTCTGCACATCACATTAAAGGCAACAGTCCACATTTCATCTGCATTTCGGTCAAGCTCTTCCATCCTTCCCCAGCCGCGCGACTTGAAGTGTAGATCTGTTCTTGTCATCGACTGTTCAGGTGAAAATCGTTCTTCCTCTTTCTTTACCTTTCACCTTCATGAGATCTGTGGCAATTTTTTTTTTTCTTTTTTTGAATTACGTTTATCTGTAAGTTCCTTTGTTTAATTTTTGTTTATTTTTTTCTAATGTTCTTCCCCGACATCAGATTCGTGTTTATCCATTTTTGTTTGTGCTTGTAACCACCTGAGAGGGGTTTTTGTAATGAATATTTCTCGTTAGATGCCCCAGCTGTGAGGCGTTTTTTTCACACCACAGTAGTGAAATTTGTTATTTGGTAATAAATATTGAAATGGTAATTATGTCTATGCTTGGGTATTGGTGTTACCATTTGTCGGTCTAAAATAGTACAAAACGGGGTGCAAAAATTGTGATCTTGTTGAGGTGAATATGGAAGTTTACTTCGAGCCTGCACATGTTTTTTGTGGACACATTTGATTCCATTTGTACTTGTTGAGGTGAATATGGAAGTTTACTTCGAGCCTGCACATGTTTTTGTGGACACATTTGATTCCATTTGTACTGAAAATCTACAGTATGCGGTGTTTTATACAACTGCATGTAACGCTTAATTGGTATTACAAAATTGTTGTAGCCATGGACATTGAAATGGATGAAGTTGAAGTTCTTTTGATCGTTGAGGATATAATGAATACATTGACCATTGTGTTTTTGATTGCCATTTTGTACACGAAAATTATGAGGCAAAAAAAACGCCATCTTAGAAATCGAGAGCACAATGGACGGGCTTCCTTCAGTATGTCCGATCGTCTACCCAGGCAGCTACACCATATGGCAGAGCTTATACGCATTAGTGATCGAGTATGTGTGGAACAACTACGTATGGATAGAAATGCCTTTGGTCGGTTATTCTATCTGTTGGAGCATGTAGGTAAACTACGGAGTAGTCGAAATGTGCAAATAAGTGAGCAAGCGGCCATTTTCTTGAGTGTGCTAAGCCATCATAAAAAGAACACGGTGGTTAAATATGATTTTAAGCGGTCCGGTCAAACTATTAGCAAAATTTTTCATTTAGTACTTAGAGTTGTGCTACGCCTACACCCGCTTATCATCATACAACCTAAACCTGTTCAAGATTCCAACAATGATTGGAGATGGAAATGGTTTAAGGTTCGTATTTCATAAATAATAAACAAATGAAATAAATTGATAACGCACGTACTTATTTATGATTGATCTCCGTTTTTTTGTTATATTAAGCCATGCAGGGATGCTTGAGAGCATTAGATGGAAAATATGTTCCGGTCCGTGTCCCGCCTAATTTGCGCCCTAAGTACCGAAATAGAAAGGATACTGTTGCGGTAAACGTTTTAGGCATATGCGATGTGGACATGAACTTTTCTTATGTCTTGGTTAGTTGGGAAGGGTCTGCCGCAGATAATAGAGTTTTGAGGGATGCGGTACGGCGAGATGGTGGGTTACGTATTCCTACGGGTGAGAGCCTTTACCTAAATGTATATGAATTTTTTATAAATTAATGTCACTACTGTTCGTACTTATAATTTACATTTCGAAATCCTTTGCATAAGTTATTTCCTTTTCCTTGCTTCACTGGTAATTACTATCTTTGCGATGGTGGGGTACACAAACGGCCCGGGATTTCTAGCACCATTTAGGGGCGTGCGCTATCATTTGCACGAATTCGATGAAGGTGTTTGGGCACCTAGAAATCACAGGGAATTATTTAACCTAAGACACGCTAGAGCAAGAAATGTAATTGAACGGGCCTTTGGAGTTTTGAAAATGAGATGGGCCGTCCTAAGAAGTAAAACTTTTTTCGACATAGTGACTCAAAATAGAGTGAATTTGGCGTATTGCCTTCTCCAAAACTTCATTCGTGCCACAATGAATATTGATCCCATGTATGGTGGCTATAATGTTTTTGAAATGGAGTCAAACATGGAGGAACCACAACACGAACCAAACGATTATGTCGATGTCGTTGAGCCTACTAATGAGTGGAATACTTGGAGGGAAACACTAGCTATGTCAATGTTCAATGAGTGGCGTGACAACCATTAAATTTGTGTTCGGTCGTTTTTCTTTTCTTTGTTTCATTGGAAGGTTTATGTGGTGTATGTGGAACACTTTGAACCATTATGAATGTTGCGTACCCTTGTTTGTCATGGAAATACATTCATGATTTACTCACTCCAATTTTAATTAATTGTCCATTTGTCGGAGTTATTTCTCTTCTATTTTTCGTCCCTTCTTGTATGTATTTATGTTGGACTAATTATGATGTCTAACTCAAAATTTACTAGTGATGGACTTTACAACTAGCGTGGGACGTGGGCCGAACGTCAACAATGCACGGCGGGTTTGGACATTTGAAGAAGAGCATGCATTAATCCAAGGCTTAAAGGAGCTCGTTGCACGTGGAATGAAAGCAAACAATGGGTTCCGTTCGGGGTACACAATGTTTTTGGAACAATATATGCAACAACAATTCCTGGGGACTACAATTAGGGCAGAGCCTCACATCTCCTCCAAGATACAGTATGGAAAAAAACTATGTTTTACTTGTACCACTGCTTCAGAAGACTTCCGGTGTTGGGTGGTCTAAAACCGGGCACATACTAGAAGTAGAGGATCCCGTGTGGAACGGTATGTGAAGGTTTGCATTAATCATGAACTACAAAATTACTTTGTTGATTTTTTTTCCTTTCATTATCAATTTTTATTGGTTAATTATGATATCATACACAACAAAACATTGTTTGCATGAAGGTGTATCCGAAAGGGAAAGGATTGCGCAACAAGCCTTGGCCCTTTTACAGTGATTGAGAAGACATTTTTGGAAAGGACCGCGCAACAGGTGAAGGAGCTGAAGGTTTTGCAGATGCGGTGCAAGAAGTCATTAGTAATACTGGGGACCATGCCCCCGCACAAAATGAGAGGCGTGGCGGGATTGGTGGTGACTTCGAGTCCAATGACAATGAAATTGAGTCATCTCCGCCACAGGGTGTTGAGAGTAGTGCATCCGGAAAGGGTAAACGGGTAGGCAAACTTAAGCGTGTTAAAGATGCGGAGGTTGAAGTGGTCGGCCTAGTGTCTACTTTATGCGAGAGAGCTGACCAACGTTGGGGTTAAATGGTTGAACGTATTGGGTTCAACAAGACGCGAAGGAGCAACTGAAGGTTTTGTACGAGGCGTTGAAGGCTATTCCCATGTTGACTACCGAACAAAAATTTATGGTAACCAAGTACTTTTGTAGGAACAAAGAAGAGATGAACGTTTTTTTAGCGTCGACGACAATGAGAAAGCTTCTATGGTGAAGATGATCCTCGAAAATAGATTGTAGGTTCGATTCTTTATTGAGCAAAAACTTGGGTATGCTTGTAGTTGTGTTTTGTTTTGCTGTCCGTACTATGGTTTTGAATTTGAACGGCCTGTACATGTGGCCCATCACCTTGGACTCGTAATATGTTTTACCTTTTGCGCCTGCTACATGTGGCCTTCTTTTGGACTTCCGTAATATTTTGATATTTCAGGATGTGTACCATGACTCTTGCCACTATTCCACTTTTCGTGTCCTAACATTTATGCATGGGAGTAGTCCTTTCCGCATTTCCAGTTTTTCCTTATTTTTTTTTTCGGAGAATCTATTCTTCAATGCATGGCTTTGTCTAAAATACGTAAAAACTGTATATTAATTTGTAGTACAAATTGTATGAATAAAGCGATCCTTTTTAACCCGGCCCGTTTTATTTTTCGCGGGTCGTACTAATTCCGATACTATACGTACACGCACTCTGGCATTAGACAATAGTTGATACTTCGAATATGTAGTGTATGCAAAAAATTTAGAAACTAATGACGGGCTGGATCTCGTCTTTTTCTATACCTACACGACCGCACCTACACGAGCGGTCGTGTAGGTATAGAAAAAGACGAGATCCGACCCGTCCTTAGTTTCTAAATATTTCGCATACGCTACATATTCGAAGTATCAACTATTGTCTAATTTCTAGCGTTCAACCGATTTTTACGCGGTAAACTGCAGTCCCGGGGATCATACCGAACATGCAACCCATACGCGGTTCAACCGATATAAACGTTCAGTGTAACGGTTTAAATGAATGTGAAAGTAATAAGTACAAAATAATCAAAATGTAAATATATATGTCAAAATAAATTGTTTAACTTTTAATTTATAATTTGCATTAATTTTATAAAATCAGTTACGAAAGAGTTACGTAAAAAATCTTTTTTCATTATTATATAAAATTTCATCTGTACATTATGTATTATTCAACATATTGCTAATAGCAAAACACCCAAACATTCCAATTGCTGTAGATATAAATATGTGTACATATATTCGTCAATAACCGCACATNGGATCATTAATAATGGGAACATTCATCAGTGTAATATGGGAAGATTTGTTGTTACAAAAATAATAAAAAAACAGAAGGAAACTAGATTTCTTGCAACAAAAATAATAAAAAACCTCCAACCACCGCCCCACCTACCTTCCACTCTCAACAATGAATTGGGATAATTTAAAACGGGCATATTGAGTGCAAGACATCTTCCACCATCATTAACTGCCTTAAATGTGTAATTGAACACCTACCGACGTTACTCGGGCACACCTCTCTCACGGCTTCCAATATCTATGAATGAGCTAGTGTTGGGAAAGGTCAACGCTTTTTTTCAGGGAAAACAATACAATACCAGGTAAAGTTATTTTAAATTTGCATATGTGCTATAAAAAAACCGAGTTACATGTTCTGTTTAATCCACTCCGAAAAATATAAAAATTGTTTTCATTATTTTACATGTTTCTTCATTTCAAGATCAATCCAATGGATCGTCAAGAAAGCATGCTACTGATCGCGGCGAGATTTCGGCGGCCCGGTTGGACAGCAAACGAGGAGAGGGAATGCTACCGGATTTAAGCATGCTACTGATCGCGGCGAGATTTCGGCGGCCCGGTTGGACAGCAAACGAGGAGAGGGAATGCTACCGGATTTTCTTTAACATTTGTCGGGAAACTCCCGACGTCAACGACCCTACCATCATCAACTCTATATGGCACAACCTTTCCATACAACTAACCGAAGAGATGCTCCTTCATTTCTCCGTGCTCAAAGTGAAGGCAATGAACAAGGCACTCCACACGTACTACCGAGAGTTCCTCACTTTCCTTGACACTCCCGGTGTGGACGTGCAGCCGGATACGGGTCTTGTGACTGTAACGCCTACGTATTGGGCATTTGTTAGCCGGGTTGGTTTTACGTAGTTATGTACATTATTCTTGCATACCTTCCGACGACACGGTTAATGTAGGTTCTGCATGCATGCAACATGTAGGCATACTTTGCTTCCAATTGAATTTAAATTCTTTTTTTTTTTTTTTTCAATGACACCCTTCACTTTCGTAGGAAACGGATTTGGAATACTTTTTCCGTCATGTTGGCTTCCCATGGTATGAAGAGTGTGTGGAGCTATGGGATTTGAGAGATGCGGCTACTGTGCACATCGAGGCAGGTGAAAGGGGCCACGACCTAATCATGTTTGACGACACGGATGAGGAAATTGTTGCTGCCGATGAGGCGAACGGGGCAGACGGTGCTGATGGTGATTCTTTGGAATTAGAGAATGACAAGGGTGACGGCACCGCCAATGGGCTGCATGAAGTTGAAGTTGACGCAGCAGTGGACGAACATTTTGAGGAGGAGTTCGTGGAAGAACCAGCCCCAGTCGAGGTGGTTGACATTGATTCGGACGAGGCACCGAATGAAATGGATCTCGACACAGGCGTCGTCTCCTGCGTTGACTCAGAGTAGATATTAGTGTACGTGAAGGTCTTATTAAGTTCGTGTATTATATAATGGCATAATTAGGAGTATGTGGTGTGTAAAGACTTTTAGTCCGTTTTGGTTATTCCTTCATGTGTCAGTTGGGAGTACAACTTGTCCTGAATGGTTTAGTGGCATATTTTGGTATGTACTATATTGCCAAAGGCAGTAACTTTTGTGTATGTACTATTATGGACTATTTTGTGTAGGTAAACTATGTTGGCTAGGTTTCTAAGTATGACTATTTCCGTGCAGTATGTTAGGGAGGAATGAAGTATGTTATTTATTTTCTTCTTTTGGGCTACGGTTTGGAAACTATTGTGAAATAACCATCCATATTTGAGATCACAATATGCGGACCAAGAAAAGACAAATTTCACAACATTAATTAATTAGAATAATTTAATGAATCTGTGGCCCTCATATGTGTAGTGTAGAAAAAATGGTCATTAGCATGGGATAGGTCGATTTAATTGGGAAACAAATGGCCACTACCAGCAAACAAATTAAATTCATTCTCTAATACTTAAGATAGAAAACATTATGCATTCAACATTAGGTAGACATACTTGAAACACACATCAATACATAAGCTACGCAATAGTAAACCATAGTCAGGCTACGGTACAACACAATACATAAAAACCATTAAACCATATGGAAAACAACAAACTTAGGGATGAATAACATGCAAGTCACTTCAAACAGGAGGGTCGCTAGTGGAATCCTTGCATGAAGCCGGGTCTGGCTTGTGCGGAGGACGTGGGATGCGCAATGGGGTTCGACTGCCCCTCCTATTAATTAAGACATAGGCATGCGTGTTAACGAAGCTTTCGGATGAGGCATCGTGCGGGCCACCGTGTTGGGGAGTAGCGTAGTTGCCACTACAAAGCGTTTGTAAAGCATTGTAATAGGAATTATCTGAAACGACATGTGTTCGTGCAGCAGGGAGAGCAAAAAAAGCTTCGCTCGTAGAGTTGCGGTCATGAACAACTTCAGATCTTGGGTTTGGCAAAAACACCTCCTCGAACATGAAACGCAAGTCTGCCCAACGTGGGTCACCGAAATGCTGATAAGCAACGCTAAAAGCGTTTGACTGAAATAATACCAATAAATAAGTTTCAGTGACGTGGCCTGATCAGATTTTGTAAGAAATTCATATATTTACAAATTAAAAGCGTGAGTCATCAATGCAAAAAAAATTAAGACCGCCACACAAAATATATGAACTGAACCGGTACCTTGAAGACGTCATCCCAAATGGCAACAGGATAGGTGAGGAAATTTGTTTGAGCGCAATGCTGCAAACCTGGTTTGCCTAGCATCCAGCTAAAAACTTGGTACCACTTTTGAAGAAAGTTGAACCTCTCCTCAAATTCATCGTTACTAAAAAATTGTTCGAGCTCGCCAATGAAAACAGAGCGGCAATAAGCTATGACTACTCTCCCGGGACGACCACTATTCCACTTCCCAAGAACATGCGACTCTATTAGCAAGTCAACAAAAAGATTGTTGGCCTCTTTTGTCCAACGATTGTCGTACAAGCATTCGTCTTACGTTATAGGGGTGGAAAGGTGAGGCATTATGTTTTAGTTGAAACGAAAAATAAAAAAGGAAGAACAAGTTTGTGAGTGTGACCAAGTTTGCTTGACGGGGTTTGTGTCTGTTTTATAGTGGGAGAATTTGTATACAGATGCAACAATCGTCACATTGGATTTTTTATTTTTTTTTATCCAACGATAGAATTCTCATTAAAAAAGACGAGAACGTCAAGCCGAATACAACCTAAATGGGACAGACACTAGGAGTCACATTGGATTCTCTGGAAATAATATAAAATAATACCTATTATCTTTTACACCACTTGTTTGAGTCATAAGGGCCATGATGCCATAGAGAATCTTGCATGTGTTTGGTTTTGCATTTAAAAGCTGCAGAAACCAACTTTATTCATCTTTTACTTTGTCATCCAGCATCAACACTCCTATCTGATATGTCACTGATCGACGGTATGGGAAAAAACAACTGCAATGCTTCACGGGTTAACAAAGGTCGGTTCTTTTCATCCTTTTCTAATTTACCATGATTAAAGCCTTGAACACGATCTTTCAAAAACAGTTTCTAATTTCAAAAGGAAAATACGTGACGGCATCTCCGTGAATATGCGCCGTGTAAATATGATTCAGCAGACTGAAAGAGCCAAACAATAGCCGGGGTCTAAACAATTTTACGACGACAACATCCATGAATGATAAATCTAGAATATAATTTTTTTTTAAATATAAAAACAAGAACCAACAAAACAGATAATAATCATAAAAAAAAATAAAGGGAACAAAAATTCAACCAGATTATGCATGTACAAATTTAATAATATACACATTTCATAACATATGGAATATTAATAACCGTATAAAAAAAACGAGGGAGTGTGTTGGAAATGAAATCATAAATGGCGCAAAGTTGCATGCGCATGCAAATGAAAATCATAAATGATGCAAAAAGGAATAAATCATAATTCATGCAAATGGAATAAAAAAATCCACTTTAATTTAAGGCCAATTTAGTAATTGAAACTTTTATCCCATTTCTTGTCCTACGAAACAAATGTATACACCTGGATTCTTGAACAATCTTATATGGTGTAAATCATGTTTAACAAATTAATGACTACTCTAATCTCTACAAGGCAATCTACACACTTGAGATAGCTTTAATCTAATCCCGTCATTTCAAACAAACGTGCTCTTAATTTAACTCTTGCATACAACCAAAAACTTCATGAGGTGGAAAATTGAATATGCGGGTCGGATTCTTATATATAGTCCGGGCCAGGCTTTATTTTGAAGCCCAAAATTTTCGCATGCAGATCCACAATAAATACGAAGTGTTTTGAAAACGACCTAACCATACAAATTGTTATGTAATACCGTTAAAGTTAAAACTCTTACACTAGAGAAGTTATCCAGTGATGAGCCTTCGATGCTTAAATAAGTATTTCTAAAAGATGATATAGTGTAGAAAGTATAGAGAATATGGACGTAATGATTGAAATCGTATATCTCACCCTATTTATAGGGGTGAGGTACCTGCTTCTACAAGACTGCCCAGATATGGTAACTTGGCTACCTAAGATGCCCGTTAGTAGGGCTGAGCATGAGACTCGAAGAATTCTGAATCGTTCCGAAAACCGAACCGAAATTGGTTAATTAGATTAATATTAATTAATCATTTAGAGTTTAAATTTATTGAATACATTGGAGCTAAATGGGGAGAGCAATAATATTACTCTAGTAGGATGTTTTATTATTTAATTCTATTTAGGAATTCGAAATTCATTATATTCTATAATTTAGATTCCATTAGGAGAGGAATATTCCTTCTATATTAATTACCCTAGGGTTAGAAGACTATGAACTCTTCTAGAAGGGTGATTAGAGTTAGGAGGAATATGACTCCTAGAATGGAAGGATATGGAGCATGATTAGGATTCCTATGTTGGGATTTGTGAGGATCTCGTTATGTACAAGTCACGAATTCAATAGCAAACGTAAACCTATGCGCAGCGGATCTAAAGGTTTGACGTAGAGAACTTACGGCTTAAAATTTATGTAGATCTGGTTGACCACGAACGGTTGACCGCAATTGATTGACCGCAAATCACGTCTTGGGTTGCACGAAAGAAATCAAATCAAAATCGGATCAAACGGATGCAAACAGATCAAAACGAAACTTTGCAGCCTGAGAGCTTCTGGCGGCGTGTGAGACATCAGACGACTGCGATCCCAGCGGCGATGGAAAGCTTTCGTCGAGACGGTCGTCTGGGTATGCTGTACGTCTCAATCGGACTTCCGGTTAGTTCTGTAGGTCAAAATATATTTCGTCTCGGTTTACCTACAGATCTTCTACTGTATTACTCAATACACCATTTTTCTACTTGTACCAGTGGAGCAACAAGAAGAAGATAAAGCTCGAATGAGATATAGAGAGAGATAAGGCGTGGGGCGTGTCTCGTTAGAATGATATTGGGATTCTCTTCTCATGAGCTTAATGATGTATATATAGAGCTACAGTAGGAACCCTTAGGAGATTAGAAAAAAGGTTCCTTAATTAATTAGACTAACTGTGGGCCTAGTCACTCCTCCAATTAATTATATAATATTAATGGGCCACCAACATTATATTATTTCACTCCCTTTTTCTAGCCCAAATTACATTTGAGACTCCAATAATAATTACTCGATTTACCTCCCCACGTTTAAGATATAATGTCCATTAATTAATTCCATTACTGACAATGAAGAATTAATTAATTTATTATTATTTCACCGAAGTTAGCGCTCGTTCATCACATTCTTATTATGCCGGAACTTAAGCCACCTGCAGGGTTTAGCATAACAATCCTTAATGAACTCACTCCGGGGACATCATCAAACTAACGCACATGGTGACCGTAAATATCCTAACAGCACATCCTATATATAATAATATTACCCAAAACAGTAGGAATATTAATCCAGCGAACTGAACCTCACCCATGTGAATCAAAGTAATATATATTATATATGTCTGCCTGTTTAATATCTTACGGGTTAAGAGAACGCAATAATTAACCGAGACCTAGTTCATTTACGACGATCAGTATAAAATGAACTTCTCCTCTCTGGGATCCTGTTCAATACATAAATGTACTAGTTCAACTAATCAGTCAAGACAAACTGTACAGTTGATACTACAACCGTTCGGATGGGGTGTTCATGTTCATCTAGGTTGTGAACAACTATTCTTGTTCGCAAGTGACTGATAGAGTGATCTTCGGTTCGCCCGATGACGACCCACCCTATCTAAGTGCAGAACAACAGAACGTAGAACTTGTTTAACCTAACATGATTCTCATTCATAAAGGGTAAATGTGTAATAACATGCAAAGCCAAGCTTTCAGTATATAACACTAACAATCTCCCACTTATACTTAAAATTTTCGCTTTTACAGTATAGTCCTATCAATTTGTTATTCTAAAAGACCTATGTCGATCCTATTGCCATGCTCATGACTCTCATTCCTTCCACGTGTTTGACGAAGACCTTCCCCGGCAAACTCTTCGTGAAAGGATCAGCTAGGTTGTCCTCTGACGCAATCTTGGCAACATCAACGTCTCCTCTACCAACGATATCCTGAATCAGATGGTATTTGCACTCTATGTGTTTGCTTGCCCTATGGGCTCGAGTTTCTTTTGAGTTCGCTACTGCTCCACTGTTATCACAATACACGGTGATACCACGCGGCAAACTCGGTATAACCTCTAAGTCCACTAAGAAGTTCCTGAGCCAAACTGCCTCTATCGCTGCCTCTGAGGCTGCTATGTACTCGGCTTCCATGGTGGAGTCTGCCACGCATTTCTGCTTAGCTCTCCTCCATGAAATGGCTCCACTTTCCAAGGTAAACACATAACCTGAGGTTGACTTACTTTCATCCCTATCTGACTGGAAATCAGAATCACTGTAACCCAGAGGTAACAAGCTGTCGGCACGGTAAACTAACATGTACTACGTAGTCTTTCTCAGGTACTTGAGTATATGCTTCACCGCAGACCAATGTTCCCGTCCCGGATTACTTTGACATCTAGCTACCATGCCAACGGCGTAGCTAATATCTGGCCTAGTGCACAACATTGCATACATGAGACTTCCTACTGCCGAAGCATAAGGAACTGTCTTCATCTCCTCTATCTCCTTAGACGTCTTAGGAGACATCTCTTTAGACAAAGGTATTCCATGTCTGAAAGGTAACATACCTTTCTTGGAATCCTGCATGTTGAATCTGGCCAAGACAGTATCTATGTATGAAGATTGGGATAAGCACAACATTCTCTTCTTACGGTCTCTAATGAGCCTAATACCAAGAATGTGTCCTGCTTCACCTAAGTCCTTCATATCAAACTGCTTAGACAACCACACCTTTACGTCTGACAACTCCTTCTTACTGTTTCTAATAAGCAGTATGTCATCTACGTAAAGCATAAGAAACACCACCACGCTCCCACTGATTTTCTTGTAAACACAGTGCTCATCCGGACATTGAGTGAACCCGTACGACTGGATCACCTCATCAAAACGGATGTTCCAAGATCTTGAAGCTTGCTTCAGTCCATAAATAGACCGATTAAGCTTACACACTAGATACTCACGACCTTCAGCAATGAATCCCTCTGGTTGCTGCATATAGATGTCTTCCTGTAGGTTCCCATTAAGAAAAGCTGTCTTGACATCCATCTGCCAGACCTCATAGTCCATATGAGCGGCTACAGCCAAGAGAATACGAATGGACTTAAGCATAGCTACTGGCGAAAATGTCTCATCATAAACAATACCATCGATCTGGGTATAACCTTTCGCAACAAGCCTAGCTTTAAAGGTTTGTACCTTCCCATCCGATCCACTCTTTCTCTTATAGATCCACTTACATCCAAAGGGTCGTACCCCATC